ATAACTGCTTAGAAAATGTGCAAAATAAATATCCTATTGTATTTTTTCTATATTGCGAAGGACATTCAGAACTGCTGATCTATTAATAGAGCAAAATATATTTTAACCAGAAAGAAAAATATATATCAGTTTGGTTCAACAAAATTCCAGAAAAAGGTTTTAATATACTACATTTTTTCATTAAAAATGAATTTTAAAATATTTGAAATAATCCAAAAGAAAACTCTCCTATTAATCACTAAAATCACTAGTCGAACACAAATCATTTTCTTTATGCACACATACCTTAAAAATATTGTACAAATCTTTAAACTTGTGATTCTGTGGAAAGGAAGTTGTTACACAAAAATTTTCAGCAGTGAACAAACATATTGTGATTTTTGAAAAGTGTTTTTTTGTTATTATTCAGATGTATATCCTTGAGAATTATGACAAGTATGCACCTATTTTAAACATCAATTTTTGGAAGAAACAAAAATTGCTGCTACTTAAATAATTTACCAAAAAACGAATTGAGTAATTTTTTGTGTGAATATATTATCTTGTATTTTATTATGAAGAAAGCTAAATAGCCATGGGCCTATCCCAGCAAACTTACACATTTGAGTAGCTTTACTCACCTGCTTAAGTGCTTGCAGGATATTGGGCCCCATGTTTGTAAAATGACAATCATTTTCTAAGCCAGAACCTTATTTACGTTAAGAAATGGAGAAATGTATTCATTTCTACAGTTCTGTACATTGCAAATACCATGTATTCTATCTGATTTTCTTATTAGATGCAAAATTATAAAGCCTCTATTTATAAGTGCCATTTTAAATATTGCAGTATTTGCATGTTATCTAATGAAATTTACACTTTAAATATGTTGATTTTATACAAACAATACATTAAAAGTTGTTGTGTTTTATGCACATTAACTTAATCTACATGAAGTGTTTTGTATCAGTATTATAATAGCCAACTTTTGAAGTTTATACAGAAAAACTTTTTTGCCAAAATGTTGAACTTTAAAAGAAGGCACTGAAAACTTTTTGAACCTTTTGTATGTTCTGTAGCATGTTTGTAGCAATTATTTTCTGTTAAAAAATATTTTCAGTGCAAATGTATCAAAGCTTTTTTTATTTTAATAAAAAGAATGTTTATTTTCTCATGTATACTTAAAAATATATATGCAATTTTATAAAATCCTCCACATATTTCAGTGTGTTTTTGTTTCCTTTCAGATATAGCTCCTAGAAAAAATTAAATGCAAAAATATACATTTATGCTATGTTTAGATTTTAAAACTTACCAAAGTAAGTAAATTCTAAGTTACGATTCTTACAGTAGTTTCGTTGCTCTACTGGTGTCTAAACATTTTGTATTCCCCTTATAGCAGGTGTGTCAAACTCATTTCGTGGGGAGAGCTGAATCACATTTGTTGTTTTGTTATTGTGTTCCAGGTCTGCAAAATTAGAGTCAGATATAATCCTCAGTCCACAGATGATCTTCCACCTATCAGCTGGAGATTTGCACAAAGATCAATGCTAGAATTAAGCTCCCACTAGTAACTAAAATTTTTGGGTGTAGTTCTGCAAAGCAGATTGACACAGTCAGGCTCTTACACCTGCAGAGTCCCATTGACTTCATTTTATAATCTGACATGTCCCTCTGAAACCTCCTCCAAGTGCTTTTATAAGTGTATGTCTTCTTTGTACAGTCTGTTGTGAATAGAGCATGCTATATTTTGATTAAAGTACCCTCTTGCTCAGTGCAAATTTCAACATACTTCTGGCAATTGGATGCCCGTGTAGGCAATCTGCTTGAGTGCGCCCACCAAATGTCACTGGAAAGACTAATATATAGATAAGTATACTCTTGATACAAACAACTGTTGCAGTCATTGTTTTGTAGAACATGCTGTTAATCTATTTGTTTCTGGGAGTCTTCCAGTGTGTTGATAACAGCATAGTCCACTTGACAAGATTTTGAACTAAAAAGGCTTTGGACTTTAGACTTCTCACCAAAAGCTGCAAACAATTGGGAAGGTTTCTTTGAATGCCTTACTTGTTAACAAATAAATAAGCAAACAACCTTTCAACATCTAGCCTATATAATCTTGCTTCAGCACACAGATCATGAGGTCTACAGAAAAATGGGGAGTTATATAATATATATGAAAATCTATTTACCACTTTTTAAAAAAATAATTTGGATGAGGCCATAAAACCATCTTTTCCTTGTGGAATAGCATGTGTGGTACTTGTATGATTTTATAGCCATGAAGAAAACAGTCTTCAATGAGAGAGAGAGTGCAGAAAACATACTCCCAGAGATTCAATCTGGTAAGAGCAGAATTCAGGTCCCAAGTATTTGTAGGTTCACAAACCATGGTTTGTATAATGCACCTTTTTAAAAGTGTGTGTTGGATGAGCAAATACTGAAGATCTTTGAATAGATAGTAAATAGCTCAGCATACCATCTCGGGACATCTTCACTGAGGCTGAAAATGATTCTGAAATCTTGAAGAACAATAGACTGTCAGACTCCTAGGAAACTACAAGGTATTAGGCTATTCCCCCACACTGTTGGATCAAAACAAGGAAATAATTATTTTAAAAGTATATTACTACTTTGTGGAAGATTTTCTAGACTCTTACAAGACTTTTGACTCCTTCAGAGAAAGCAGATAATGCACTTTTTTGAGACTGTAAATATGGGTTTCGGGTGAGCTTGACAAGTTACAGGTTGAGGACACTTTTATCACAAGGTCAGTGGAAATCTGGTTTGGTCAAATAAAGAACTGGAACCACACAAGGCAAAATTGAAAAACATGAGAAATTGTGGTACCTTCCCATTGTTGGGCCAACATGACTCAATTGACACATTCACAGAACATTATTTTCTTGTGTCTGGAGCTAGATCCACGGCTCAAAGTTGGAGTTAGCGCCAATGCTTGGTTCAGGAGAATGGTGCTTCAATTATTTTTTTTAACTGAGTACTCTTCAGTCATCTTCCTGACTTATTGTATTGTCATTGTCCTACACTGGGGATCTGCATAGACATTTCTTGATGGGAAAAGGAAGGTTAACTAGCAAATGGAGTTCTCCAAATGTATTGCCTATACATGCCCACTGATCCTTTTGACATTTATGCAGGCCTTGCTTTTGCAGCTGTGTATCAAGTTGTAACTTTCATGGGGACGGATTCTCCTTGGAATTATTTCTTAAGATCATATTTTTGTTAATGCTTACAAACTGCTATTTGAGGGGTTTCAACAAGCCTGTTGGCCACTGTTTAAGAATGGACTGGAACAGGTTACATGAGCAAAGTTATGTGTGGTTAAGTTCTTTGCAAAATCGGGGCCTAGGTGCTGCCTACTTGAAGAAGATTAGACTGCAAAGCTGTTTCTTCCATCTGGATCAGGTAAAGCATTGTTTCAACTACGTATTTTTCATTTTTAGGTAATCTAGTCTGCCATACTTGTGGGATTCAATAATCTGTTTTTGCTCTGCTGGATTTGACTTTACCTACACCCATTTTCTTTGAAAAGTTTATTTGTACCCCTAAAAGGTAGCTCTGTGCACTTCACCTATTCCCTCACTGGGATGAATGAATGCAGGTTACATCTGTAGAACAGGTTTAACAACAATCCTCTAACAGTGGACCCACCAACCACCTCTGAGGCATTATACCTGCTCATCCACTACACAGGTATGTCTCCAGGATCCACTGTTCGTTTCATGCTGCTTCTTCCATCTCTCCAAGGGTAGGTATGAGTCATTGTAGAGCCCAGTGTGTGACTCACCCTGATTTTAAAACTGTTTGGAAAAAGGGGTTCCAATATTTGTCTGCTCCTTGTGCTTGGCTAACACATTGAAGTCTACTGCTATTGTTATAATGCATGGAGGCAGCTTACTTTCCGTGATTACTGTTTTGAAATTATGGGCATCCAAATACATTTGAAACTGGACATTCCTATGCAAATTAGGGAACCAATTTAGAAGCTGAATGAACATATTTTTAATATTTAAGCTGCATACCTGATGTGTGTGTTATATGTGATTAGTTTTACTGTTGATGAAATGGTGAGTAAATAAAAGGTTCTTAATTTTATTTTATTTTTTGGCATAGAGGGCATGTTTAAGGGGAAATTCTAGGTTTCCCTGGATTAAAAACTGATTTTAGCTGCACAACAGTTATGCAGCATTTTGAATATTTAGCTCATTGTGAAAATGTTCAAATGATATTAAATGAATACTAAGAACTATCTGATAGGATGTCTCTCCCAAATTCTTGTTTTTTATTATATAAATTAACAGACCAAAACATTTCCCACCTTCATAATACTGAAACCATCCAGTGGATTTGCTACCGGCTGAAGTCCCAATATCATTTTTGTTCACATGAACTTCAGTTTTGAACAGGCATAACATGAGTTTAAAATTTCTCTACATTTATTCTGAGCATAATACACACTGCAAAGCATGTAGCACATATTAAAATACTGTACACGTAGTTTGCATTGAGGTTATGAAAAATGTAACATGACAGTATAGTATCATAATATCAAATTATATCAGTTAATGTTTAGCTTCTATTTTGGTTCTGTAGAGTTCTTAGAAAGTAAGAAATTTAATTAGTTTGGAGCCATTATCAAACGGTTGAATAGCTTGCATATGAAAAAAGAAAATATATGTTAACACACACCTGTAGAAAGTATTTAATGCTTCTGCAGAGGAGGGAAGGTTCCATATGCTTCCGCAGAATGGAGCTCCTAAAACTGCTAAGTGCTACACATTTTTAAGGAGAATTGTCTGCCTGAAGGAGAATGCTGATCTTTTAAACAGCTTTTGCTTTTCCAGCTGCCAGAACACACCACTATAAAGTATACACCTTATTGTAGATAAAAAATAACAGTGATAACTCTTAAGATAATATCCTTATGGACGTGAATATTTTTAGAAGGGTCCTTAACTCCACATTTTGCAACAGATGATCAGTACTTTGCTTTACAATTAACTTCTCTGTGTGATGTAGGGTAAAGACAATTTGTGGTTTATTGTATTAAACTTTTGTGGATTAGAAACCAGTCCTTTTGAAACACAGTGGATTTCTTCTTCCAAAGTACCCTGTGATCTGCCTTCCTCAAAGCTTGTTTCTACTTCACTTGGCCATGTACGGTCAGGAGATGGATTTGAGCCAACAGGTGTTGATGTCTCTGTTATGCCATCATTGCTTAATAATCCTATGGACTCTTCCTCTATAAACCCAACTTTATATTTTGGCAGATTCTTTCTCTCAGATCTGTCTGGGTTTCTTAGTTTACTTCTTTGCTCTTCAATCTCTGCATCACTTGCAATATTGGCAAATGTTTTCAGTCTGGTTTTAAGTTCAGATTCGGCTTCCTCTATATATCGGGCTGCTAATGTTCTTCTACAGCATTTATGTATTATTCTGGGGATTTAAAAAAATGTTGTCAGGCAGTAATGTCCACAGAGTGAACAGCAGAACAGATTGCTGCTGCACAACTTCTCTCTTCATTCATAATGACTGGGTAATCTCTCACCTGTGAAATTCGGAGGTGGTCCCAAAGTTGTTGCCAGAGGGCTGAGGACTAAGCCCTGCCCTTCAGCTCAGGCCACCAGAATTTCTGCCTTTGGCAGCGGAACCGGTTCATGGTTGGTTTGATTTCTCCTGACCATTTTGTCTAATTTTTATTCATTTTTGTGTAGAAGAGAGACTTCATTTAAACTTTTCTAAGGTGAGCAATCACTGGAGTATTAAGGCTCTAAATCCTCTGGTACAGCGCCTGTCGAGTAGGCATCCTCCACTATCCTGCTGTAAACTGCCAACCCTCGCTCTGATAGGGTATATGTCTTTGAGTCAGATCAGTATGCTAGGACCCTGCCAAATCCCCCGCTTAAAACCTGCAACTCCACCACAGGAAGGATTAACCATGGGCATGAAGATTCCCAGGAAAGGGAGATCTCCTCACAGCCTGCTTGGAGTTTAAGATCAAGAAACTCCAGAGACTCCAAAAAGACAAAAGCAGACATCCCCTTTGGGAGGCAGCAGTTTGTAATGTTAATGAGCAAGTAGGGTAAAAATCAGGGTTAAACCCTTTCTTGGTGGTTGCTGGGGCTTTTCTCCTCCCAGACGCTGTCACAGTGCACCATGCAGCATGTCTGGGTATGCGAGAAGCCTGTTCCTCCTGTGCAGTCCTGTCTCAGGCTGCAGCCTACTAGGAATTGTACCTGGCTGGCTCTCAACTCAGGGACCCTCGCTCTGCCAGGGAAAGGTGCTAAGAGTCAGGCAGCAGTGGAATGGGATTTGTGCCTTGTGATCATCAGCCAGCCCTCGCTTTGCCAGGGAAAGGGGCTCAGAGACTAAAATGTGGGAAGGAGTCGGTCTCTATGGCTGGAACCCAATGAAAGGATAAGAAGCACTAGAGGCAGCCTGTGCCCAGAAGCTGAGGCACATGAGGACTTTATTCCCATGCAGCTGCACCATCATGGAATTATAGGGGCATAAGTGAGAAATCCCTTCCTATGGTCAAGAGCTCCTGATTTACTGAGTATAAAACCCTGAGTGGTACTAGGTCACTCTTGCAGAACTTACTAGGGTCCTAGCCAGCCTGCAGAAGCTTCATGTCGGGCTACCAGGGCCACCTAGGGGTCTATTCTCCTTGGTTGGGGCATCCCAAGACCAGGATAAATAGCGTGCTACTGCCCTCCAGTCAAGGGAAGCACTGCATACACATACCATCAAAAAAAGAAAAATCTCACATGGTTCTCCCAGGATAGGAAGCCAGTGGCTCACAACGAGCTCATTATTAATAATAAATACCTTCCCTTCAAGCAATAATGAGACACAGGGTTTCCTGTACTCTCTTTTGTAAAGACATCATACAATTAGAACGTGGACATCTGGTTAAAACTAAATGTTAAACTAAAATGTTGCATAAACACACCAGGATACTTCATAAATTTTGGGAACCTAAGGTTGGGTAAAGCAATAGCCACACCACTGACCGAGTCAAACCTTGTTCCAAAAGATGCCTTACACCATAAGAGTGAGGACACTCTACTGAGAAATGTAAAATCCTTGGCTATAACCATTCAGACCAAAAATATACTTAATTAAGAGCAGAGGAATACCTACTTGGTGGCAAACAACTGGATTGTTGTCTAGGGGTATGGTCTGTGCTTGGAGTGCAAGATATCTTGAGTTCATATTATAGTCAAATCCTTACAGTGGTGTGTAAAATATTCTTCCTTGTTAACCTTTCCTGGCTCTAAGTGATTTGTGACGAGCAATAGCTCCTAACTTAAAAAAAGTAGTGCTTAAACACTTGAGTAGCCAACAATCATACCCAGATTCCCCAAACAAGGACTCTGTGCATCCAAATTCACAGGTGTGAGAATGTTGGGGGAAACATTAGAGAAATTAGTAGCTGAGAATGCAGAGAAGCCTGAGTCCTCACTATCAAACCAGCAGAGCAATCTGTCGGTCACTACCAGCACCACTGCTGCCGAAGGAAAGGACTGTTCTCTATGAGAGGGAACAATCTGAAGCAGGGAAACCTCTCTTTCCAAACCAATAAAATCCTCAGCATGACAAACAAAAAATTAACATTTTAGTTTGAGAGCTTACAATGCCGATACAAGACTCTTCCTTTGATCTACTCTCTGCACCTCCACTCCTAAGGAATGGCTGGCCAGGGAAACAGAGCTACTTCTAACTTGCCAGCTGCTAGAAACTATTCAAACCCACCAGTTGTTTAAAATCAAGACTAGCTTGAGCCTAACAGAAAATTGTTCACCCAGAGGTCAAAATAGGCCTAGGTCTGACAACAATTTTACCACCATGGTAAAGATTTACAAAGATCCAAATTTTCATTGCACTAGTCATTTCTTGGTAGTGGTCATCTACAGCCAATTGTCTCCATCAACTAGGTTTGCTGGCACTACACATTGCTTTCACCCCTGGCTGGGATTTCACAAAATCTGTTGTGCAGAACAGCTGCAATGCAAAATTAGGCATTTCCAAATCATGTCTGAATTTCCATTTATGGACAGGTACATACATTAATTCAATCCAATTTTCATTCTAGATTCTTGCATACAGACTATGGAAGCATGCCTTGCAGGGTGGGGAGACAATCTGGAAGACCAGACAACTTGGGTTATGGGTTCTCACAGAAAAGCAGGCTCCAGCTCACAGCTTGTGTTGTACAATTTTCCAAAATCTCAGCACATGAATCCTTTTAGTTCATTTCAACAGCTGAAGTGTGAGAACAAAACATAGGAATAGCCATATAGGATCAGACTTGTGGCCCATTAAGTCAGTTCCTTATCTCTGACACTTGCCAGTACCAGCTGCCTCAGAGAAAGGTGCAAGCAACTTAGTATTGGGCAGTTATGTAATAACAGTAATAATGATGATACTGATTATCATCACCACAACATTCTGGAGCTCTTAGTTGCTTGAGAGTTTCTCAGGGGTGGTTGGCAGAGTCCTACAGCTTAGCACTAAAGAAAAGTAGGAACCAGTCCTCACAGTGTTCTTTAAGTTGGCACAATGGAGTCCCCATGTAAAGATCATCAGGTGTCAAAATTAATCAAACAGGCCAGATTAGACACACTTGTGACCATAATTTCTCTCTCTATACAAGAACCACACTGCTGCTGTTGTGAGGAAAGGGTTATGCTTATAGCTCCAGAAATCTTTCTGCCTAAGTCTATTTCTTTCCATAACTCCTGGGAGATACTTTCCCCATCATTTTGTTCCAATCTTTAAAACTGCTTTAGAATGTGGGGGCATAAATGGATATTGCTACAGCTTTACAGATACACATGAAGCATCATATATATGCCAATTGTATCCTGTGCATCTCATTCTATCTAAAATGCCAAGGCCTTTGGACCTCAAAGTTGCTGCAAGCAACATGTTAACATCCTGTACCAACTGGCATCTGGGAGACCATTCATGAAAGGAATCAAGGCTCCTTCTGTAAGGTCCCTAATGGCACTGTGGGAACAAAGTGTCTGAGCCACATCTGAGGAACATTTTCCTATTAGGGCGTCATTCCTTGGAGAGGCATCCTTTGGTAAAGAGATGCCAGAGGGCTGGATCTCAAATAATTCCTTACATTACAAAGCTTTTGCTTTATATGGGGGAAACTCTATTTCTACCTATTATCCTACTCTAATAATTGTTAAAATTCTGCTTTAGCCTCTCCCCTCCCCCACTCCACTTTTGTGAATGTCTGCTCACTGCTTTCCCATTAGTGGTGAAGGAGAAGAGAAACTACAGCAGAATGAGAAATTCACCTAATAATTTTCTTCCTTTTAGCAGCTTCTCTCCTCATTCAATCTACCCTAGTAGTCTGGTAAATAACTGGAATACAGTTTGTAACAAATTGAACTTTTTACTCCCCTTTGAAGCCCTACCTATAGAATTGCCTAAAGGGTTAGTTAATGTAATTTCTACTTATTGTCTTAATGCTAATAACTGGCTGCTGAAGGGTTTCTACAACAGTGGACAAACTCTTCTGGTGGCCTGCGTGGAAGGGTGTGGCTTAATCCTTGTGCCTCCAGCAACAGCAACTTTGGACAGCCTCTGAATTGCACAGGTGAGGTGCATGGCCCTTTTGTGGTGAATGAAGAGAGCAACTGGTAACTGAAAATTATCAGGTAAGAAATTCTTCACTGTGAGTGAAGCAAGTTACCCCCCTGCATCATGGCAGCAGAGAACTACGTAATATAATGAAATAAATGTTCGAAAACAAATTAATGTCAAACTAGGGACACCCAGGGCAGCCTGAGGGCTAAATGCAGCCTCCCTCATCCTGAGCAAGATTGTTGGTGACCTTTAATCAGTATAGGCCTGATCTAACTCCCATAGAAGCCAATAACCAGCATCGAGATTAATCCATCAAACAAAATGCTGGTACAAACTAAATATGGGCCTCTGCATTTATTTTTATACAAAATCAGGGGTGAAAGTAACTTACAGGACTTACCAGTACTGCTGGAGTCCTGAGGGGGGCGTGGCCTCAACCAGAAGAGGCTGGGGCTCTCAAGATTTAAAGGCCCTGGGGCACCAGCTGTGGCTGGGAGCCCCAGGGCCTTTAAATCAACCTGGGGCTCCCAGCTGCAGAGGTGGCTGGGAGCCCCTGGGGCTCAGGGGCAAATTAAAGGGCCCTGGGCTCCGGCCGACGCAGAGCTCCGGGCCCTTTAAATCCCGGCCCCAGCCCGGCAGCCGGGCTCAAGCATGGATTTAAAGGGCCCGGAGCTCCCGCGGCTGCGGGTAGCCCCAAGCCCTTTAAATCCTGGCCCCAGCCCAGCTACTGGAGCTGCGGGCAGGATTTAAAGGGTGGCGGGGAGCCTAGAGCCCTTTAAATCCCCACTGCGGAAGCCAGTGCCGTCCGGCACGGGGTACTGGCTCTTGCCGGTACACCGTGCCAGACAGTACCGGCTTACTTTCACCTCTGTACAAAATGTATATAAATGTGTATCCTGATAAGATGGAGACCTCTGGCTCCTGGCAAGTTGTGCGTGTGGGCCTCACTTTCATAGTTTGGTTACCCTGACACAAACTCTCCACAGTTTCCATAGCATTCTTCCATTCACTGCACCAAAGGATGGAGGTTGTACTCTGCAAACCACAGATATCTAAGGTCCACCAAATGCAAGGACATTTGCAAAGGTTTCTGGCCTGTGCACAGCTGCCCAACCCTATTGGCTTATTATAGCCCCAAGATGTGCGTCCAGCAACATTTGTGGTTGCTAGCTGCTCCAGAAAGTCCCTTCAAGGGGTTTAGGGAGGGAAGGGATAGCTAGTACAGAGGAGGAAGTAGGATAACTTAGTGCTGACTATCTGCAGGAACTTAGGCCTTGGCTACACTTGCAAGTTACAGTGCTGTAAAGCCTCCCCCAGTGCTGTAACTCACTCCCCGTCCACACTGGCAGGGCACTTACAGCGCTGTATCTCCCTGGGTACACCGCTGCAGGTACTCCACATCTCCGAGAGGAATAACAGCTGCAGCGGAATGGCTACGACTCACAGGTGTGAGTGTAAACGCTTGTAGCGCTGTACTAATCACCTTGTCAAGTGGCCAATCCTCTCCATTGTTGTGACCAGCTGCAGGAATGCAGAAGTGCCGGTTTCAAAGCTCGTACCACAGAGAAAAGCAAACAATTTGCAGCTTGCTTTGAGTGAGTAAATGAATGAGCGGGGGGCTGGGAGTTCGGAACTTGCAAAATAGAGAGCTGACATGCTCCAAAAAGCACTCACTCTCCCCCCCACACTCCCTGTCTCAATCCACCCCACCCCCCCGTTTTGAAAAGCACGTTGCAGTCACATGAATGCTGGGATAGCTGCCCATAATGCACCGCTCCCAACACAGCTGCAAATGTTACAAGTGTGGCCACACCACTGCGCTGGCAGCTGGCAGTGTGGACAGACTGCAGCGCTTTTCCCTACGCAGCTGTACGAAGACAGGTTTACCTCAAAGCGCTGTACAGCTGCAAGTGTAGCCAAGGCCTTATACTCTCTGCCTGTGCTGATTTGAGTGGGTGAGAATCAAGTGGAGATCTACCATCTCCTGTGCATCTAGCACCCAATGCTTAGAGGCAAGAGAAGAGGGGGAGAGTGTCCTATGGAAACAGCACTTCCCTCATTTGTACTCCAAGATCAGATCCACTGTCACAGGCTCCCTTCAGTTTCTGTAAGTGAAGGGATGTACAGGGGTCCTACCTACAAACAGTATTAAAGCATAATAGAAATAGATGCAATGCCATAAAGGTTCTTACGCCCAAGATGTCACTAGGATAAGGCTTGTTCCTAAGGAGGAAATTAAGAAAACAATCCAGATTTGCAGAGTTCCTGAAAAAGATGAACAAAAACAAAATAAAACCAATAGAAAAGAGCACTTCACATATTTATCTTGTTTCCTCTTGTCTAACTGTAGCATATGGACAGTCTGAATGGGGAGCCAGAACGGTAAGACTGAAACTCAATATTTGTGTGGGAGCCCAAAAGAAATCATCATAAAGGTTCATTTGGAAGTATTTCAACAACTAGCCATAGGGCTTCATTCTTATGCTGTATTTTCTTTCTGTTAATGACAGCACATTGACCAGGTAATCAAGAAACAAGGGGCTTGATTCTCAGTGACTCTCCCATCTTGCATTGTCCTGCACACTAGTGCAAAGTGAGTGCAAATCATTACCATTCTGATTCAGTAAAATTATACTCCCTCTCTGCACTCACTTGACCTGGTGTAAATGACCAGACAAGCACAGCGCAAGAGAGGATTTGAGTCCAAGGACTAGGAAATGGACCCGGGTTTTCTGTCTCTAGAGCATGATACTAGATGAGGCCATTGAATAAGTTGGGTAGGGGAGATTTCTAAGAAGTTTGTTTTCTCGGGATAGAAAACACATACATTTGCGATAAGAATAATTAAAAACTAGCAATTCCATACCACTTCTATCATTGTCAATCCAGTGTACTTCTTCACTGAAAATAACTTACCGTGACACTCTCTTTCAGTTTTGGCTCCTCTTCTATCACTAGTTTGTGTTTTTGGACAGTTTTTGCATGCAGTCTGCCCGTACTTTTTATTATAGGACCCCGATGCACACAGAATACATGTGGTATCATATCTTGCACTGAATCGACCAGGTGGGCATGTTACTAGTTAAAAAAAAAATGTACAATAGAGTAAAAATGGATTTTAATAAACATATATTAGATTGTTTTATTTGAATAATTTTAATTATTGGCCTGTATAAGAGGAAATAATGTTTGTCCTTTGCTGACCAAAGGCCTGGTGAACATGGGGTTTTAAGGCAAAGTTGGTTATCAGTGATTTGAAAATAAAAAGTCAGAAGGAAAAAAGAAAGAAATCACTGAGATTGAAGCTAAGTGTGGAAGGTTTCCACCTTAAAGGAGACCTGCAAAGAGGAAAAAAACAGGTTTGGTCCTTTTCCCCCTTGGTTTGATGTCTAAACAAGACCTAAGTGGATTTTTGTTGTTTAATAACTGGAAGAGTGAGGAGGGAAAGAGAGGAGATTGGGAATGGCTCTCAGTCAGTAGTTGAAGACATGGGGCTGAGAAATTTTAGCAGTTTTTCTTTCAACTTTTTTAGGTATTGAGTTAGGTTTAATAGGATTTTCAAAAAACAAATCCCACTGACTTTTAAATCAGTTCCCCTCCCAATTAATCAGATTACAAAGTCATAATAATACTAGCTCACTGGTTATTAATAGCATGTTCTTGAGAAAACAGGGTAGGCAAGACTGTTGCCGCGGTTTAAAAAAAATAAAAATAAAAAAAAGTAAAACTCAATTCTAGCCTTCTTTATACACTATAAAAATAGGAAAAACTCAAAAACATACCCCCCACCTTTACACATCACCTTTAAAGAATGATCATTGCCAAATGTATGTTTTGACAAATTTAACCTAAGGTGCCCCCCCTCCTAGCTGTTGAAACCCAGTGACAAGCCCCAAAGGCCCAAATCCTCTCAGGTCCCTCCAGTGATGAGGAAATTAGTGACAATGATATGAATTACTCGACGAGAGTGCTGGGTAGATGCTGGGGAAAAGTATTTGTGAACACTTTTGCAAAATCTGAATCACACAGCTATTTGCCCATGTTCACATCCTTTCCTGTCTGATTTTCATGAGCAAAGTTCTGTTCATACAAGCGTTCCTGGAAAACATATTTCAGACCTGTACCTGAGACTTACTTAAGTAAAGCACTAAAGCTATTTTGTGATAGAATGAAATTGTTAAGGATTAGATTATCCACTCAGGAAATATAAAAAATACCATGTGATTTAGGGACCAAGTTGCAACACTGGAATAGCAAAGTCTAGATATCTAATAATAGAATGCCGTGAGCAATCCATAGGTTGAAATTTGGTTACCTAAACTATTTATTGAACAATTGTAAATAACAACGTATTGTAAAAATCTTGATTTGTTCAGTGGATACACAAACAAAAAAGGGCTAAATTAATCAAGAACTGCAACCCATTTGGCCACTTGCAATGTGGCTGACCCACATCACAAAGAATTTATAAGAACACTTTCCTAGTACTGAATATTTTTCAAAAAGACTTCGAAGCTTAGGCTCTCTTTGTGTGGAAGAACATGTGTTTTATCCTGTCAGTTTGTCTGTTCAGCTCCTCTATGGAAGTTGCAGCATGGAGTGTGCTACCTCAAGAATTCCAGAAAAGTGTGGTGTCACAGAATTAATGTTTTTTATTAGTTCCATCTCTTTTTTCCTGAGTGGGCTCCATTGGATTCATGTCTCCACTCCCCCTTAACTGTTCCAATATTTTTAACATAGTTGGAAATGTTACACTACCTAAATATGCATCTTCCAACCACAGAAGTTTCTGTAGTTTTCCTGTCCAGATGAGGCTGTTAACCCTCCACACTGCAGTCCACATTAATGTCTTGTTAGCCTTCTCTGCTCCCCAAAATGGAGAATTGTGTTCCACTTTACACAGTCCCCCCCTTTCTGTCTCAAGACCATTTAGGGCTTGTCTTCTCTGCAGTGTTAACTTGGGCTTTTAACCTGGGTGTTATCTCTTATCTGGCTCTCATCCACATAGAACAAACCTCCTCACTCACTACATCTGGGCCAGCTGGCCCAGCCTGAGTGCTGCTTACACTTGGGCTGGAAATCTGCCCACTTTGCAGTGTCGACCCAGGATAAACACTTGCGTGCTGATAGTCCTGTGACGTTGCAGTCTATATAATTTTATAAAAATATGTTGAGTGACTATAATGTAACTGGAATATGCTTCATGCAAAAGGTCTCTTGTAAGGTATCATTACAAAGCTTATAATCTACTGAGTGTGATCATCCTATTTGTATAAATGTATCACTCTTGTATCTGAAACTAGAAATATGAAATATAACTCTGAGGGCCTATTGTAATTATGCAAAGTGTGGGCCATTACTGGTGGTTTGGAATCTTGATGACTCCCATTAACCAGGACAATTGTCTGCAGATGGCTGTGTTCACCTGTAAGTCTTCCTGTATACGTGTGTGCTGGCAAGTGGGCAATGAAGTCTTGCAGTGACATGTGATCATGTCACCTGAACTGGAATCCATCTTTAACCTGGTGTCTTTCCATTGAGAAGGAGGGGGTGGAAACCCAGAGAGGGACAAAGGATTCCCGCCTTATGCAAAAGATATATAAAGGGGTGGAACAGAACAAAGGGAGAAGAGGAGCCATCATGAAGAATCCCCTAGCTACCACCTGAGCTGGAACAAGAGCTGTACCGGGGAAAGAATTATGCCCAAGCCTGGAAGGTGTCCAGTCTGAGGAAAAAACACATCTCTGAGGGTGAGATTATCTGTATTCAGTTTGATTAGACATAGATTTGCGTATTTTATTTTATTTTGCTTGGTGACTTACTTTGTTCTGTCTGTTTCTACTTGGAACCACTTAAATTCTACTTTCTGTATTTAATAAAATCACTTTTTACTTATTAGTTAACTCAGAATATGTATTAATACCTGGGGGAGCAAACAACTGTGCATATCTCTCTATCAGTGTTATAGAGGGCGAACAATTTATGAGTTTACCATGTATAAGCTTTATACAGGGTAAAACGGATTTATTTGGGTTTAGACCCCATTGGGAGTTGGGCATATGAGTGTTAAAGACAGGAACACTTCTGTTAGCTGCTTTCAGGTAAATCTGCAGCTTTGGGGCAAGTAATTCAGACCCTGGGTCTTTGTTGGAGCAGACAGGAGTGTCTGGCTCAGCCAGACAGGGTGCTGGAGTCCTGAGCTGGCAGGGAAAGCAGGGGTAGAAGTAGTCTTGGCACATCAGGTGGCAGCTCCCAGGGGGTTTCTGTGATCCAACCCATCACAAGTCCTTCAGTGCCTTTGCACAATTCCCTGTGTGCCCAGAAGGACAGACAAGTTCTCCCACAATTTTCTGGGAAAGACCCAAAGCCGCCCATCTTACTGCAGTGCTAAGAACCATGGAATATGCCCCTCAGAAATCCTAGCACCTCACAAAATGGGTACAGCACCAGTTAAGTGGATGCACTAGAATATGGCTTTGCAGTGTGGCTGCCCCACACCTAAGCTAGGACAAGACGAGTGCTCACAAATGAGTTCCAATAACTGAGTTAACTTGAAAGTGAAGACATACACTTAAAGATTTTTTAAAATATGCCCCATTAAAGGTTTCTTTCTAGTTTTGAGCATATGGAGTCTGCTCTGTGTCCTGGTCTACTTGCCTTAGAATCAAACTCAAATCCTCTCCGTTTTCATTTTAAAAAAAATGAGTTTGGTGCACGTGGACAATGCCAGATTTATAGTCCCAGGGCTTGTCCACCTGAGGATAAAAAGTATATTTTCAAAACTCATTAGTTAACACATTTTAAAACCGCAGTGTAGAGATGGCAATCTGTGTTTTAACATATTAGCTGATTCTGTTGTAAGCTAGGCTTTCTATAGGGCTCACCAGGACCAACTAACATGGGTCACACCACAACTTTCCCTGTCTACACTAGGGTCTTAAAACATTATAGGTAATGTGGTTGCAAAAAAATATACCTTATATCCTAGGGTGGACAAGGCCCAGAGACTGAAGATCTCTGTTTATACCACAGCCTTGAACCCTGGTACATGTAAACATACTGCTAATTATTAGGATGTCTTCCATTTGCAGGATGGGAATGGCAACACCATATTTTTCTTGAGGCAAGTAATTCGATATTATTTTCCAAACAAGCCTTGGACACTCACCACAGCATCCTGGACACAGCGTACTGTTGTTTATATTTTTACCAAATCCTGGTTTGCAGTGATCCACTTTCTTACCAGTAAGGGAGCCAGAAATATAATGTATCTGGTGAATGTGATCTGATTCAGTATTTTGTACTTCAAAGAATTGTTTAATCTTAGTGTATGCCTAGAAGTAAAAAAAAACAAGAAGAAATAAGTTATTCAGATTCAAATCGCAAGACATCTAGCATGGCAGCACGGGAACATATGAGAGAGCAAAATGCCTCCGTCTACCTGCACTGGATACTAGCATCATGGCTACCGGATTGGGAGGAGAAATAGGCTCTGCAGAAGTGCTGAGCCCTCCCCCCTTTGCATAGGTGGGTGAGATTATCTTGGAGGGGGCAGAATGGGACCAGGACTGGGCAGAGCCTTGGCTCCGTACGCCTCCACCCCCAATGCACCAGCCGGCATATCTCCAGTCACTCAATGGGGAACGTATGCTGTACCAGGTACAGCGCGGCACAGTTTTGTCCTCCCTTGGAGCAGAAGGGGAACCAGGAGGGAAGATACTTTGGATCAGCACAATACCACATTGCCTCTTATTCTGGGCTCACGGCAAAGCCATAACTGAGCCCAAAATTATCACATGGTACAAACACAAGGTTTGCACAGTTTTTAAAAATGTATAAGAAAGCCTATCACAGGAGTAACATCAGACAGCCTAGGGGACAAGGCTTCTGAGAAACATGAGGAAATAAGTCATTTCTGAAATAACTCTTTCCCCCCCCCCCCAAAAAAAAAAAAGGCTTTTGGACTAAGCAGAAGAAAAATTCCTTGAGCTATTGTCAGGCTATTGTCTGTCTTTTCTTCATGGCATCAATTCTATTCTTCCTGCACCCTGGCATTCAATTTCCTAGTATTCTCGTTTGTTGTGTGTATGTGAAGTCGGAACAGTTATGTCAACCAGCTGTCAGACTCCTGACCCACTGGCTCAGCTTAAGGGGAAACGTGGGCAGGGAGGAAGGGGTCGTTACTAGTAGCAGCAGCAGACTGCACATCACATCACACATACAGTTTTGAAAATCTGTCCAATCAGCTGAGAAAGAAAAAAAGATGAATAGCGGATCAGATCCTCTGAGTATACACTTCATGAATGTAATTGTGTGCCAGTTCCTAGAAGGAAAAAATTAATGGGTACACACAGAATATTGATTACAGTGCACAAGATCAGGCTGACTCTAACTTTGGTTAATCAGCATGTCACATTCTGAAGGAGCTACAGCTGTACCTGACACAGTGAATTTCTCCTAGACCAGTGCATGGCTATTCAAGAATTCAACACACAGTACCAGGTACATCATCCTGCACTTGTCGCATACTCAGTGGCCCAGTTGTTGAAGTCCTATTTCAGAGATGCCATGTCTACTGTCTTGCCCAGAAGAGGTGGACAAGGCCATTCAATACAAAACTGGTTTCACCTTTACTTGCATGTAGAAAGATGAGAAAAGTATAATGGTGATGCCAAAGCTCCAGAGAAGAACAAATTATGATGCTCAGAAATATAATGGGACAGGAGAGGATAAAGAGCATGATTATTCAGCTAGGGCAGTAGTGAATCAATCAGTTTATACTGTAAAGGTATATTTAAAAAAACTAAAAGTCATAGAACACTTGGGAAAGGTACCAAAATGACAGCCCTGGAGACTGAAGGCCTCTGATTAGCCAAAAAATGGGCATCAGCGGGGCTTCAAGCTTGTTTCTGAGGAGCCAGTTCTAGGGTGAGAAGGCAGTTCGATCTCCAGGCCTAACTGATTCTTGGTTTTCCTGTTGATTTTAACAACAAGAGTGCCAATTAATGCCAACTGTGACTATGGTTGCCACCAAGTATTTTGGTTTGTCAACAAAAAAGTGAGAACAATTTCCCTGCATGTGGGCTGTGTATTTCTTCAGCAATACAGCACCTAGCAAAATGTTTAGGGGGGTTATTTTTGGATGTGATGTTAGAATGAATCAGTCTATAGAAAAGCACCAAAGTATAAAGTGCCATTGTTTCAAACTCTCACGGAAGTACCTCAGATTCCCTATTAAATGCAATACTAATGCAGTAAGAGTCCTTTTCTATCTATCATGACTTTTAATATAACCACAGTGCGAGAAAAATGTGATCAAGAATCAATGCTTCAAAATATTGCATTTTTATTATTTTCTTAATAAAACAGTTGTACCTTTTTGATGTAATTGGTGGAGTTTTCACATTTTGAACTTTTACAGGACTCTGCAAATGCCAGTGCAAAAGGAAAAACTGGAAATTAACAGAGAAAGAAGGATATTTAATCTTTTAATTTGAATGTTTTATGTTAATCTGTGAGGGGTCTAAAAAGTTTTGTCTATTTGAAAATTCCGAGAGTTTATAGGGCTGGTAGAAAGTGGGAGTGGGGTGAGGTGTAATTAAACTGTCTGGAAAAAAAATCTGCTTTTTGTCATTTTTATCTGCACTCTAGTTGCTTGGTAATGGGCATCAAGCATGGAATCCAAGAATAGATGCCATAATTAATTTTAACAGATAAGGTAGTTAAAGAGACTAGACATATATATACAGAAGTATAACACAAGCAGTTACTCTAAGCTGGTAGTTTCCATTTTAAAATTGATTTAGGATGAAAAAAATAGATTGGTCGGAGAAACTATTATGATTTTGGTCTAAAATTAACTGCCTGCAGGACTGAAGAAAGAAGCCCCCCCACACACACACACACCCCGCATGACGAAGCGTTGCATAAGTGACTCACTGCAAGTACAAATGTTTTCACTTTATTCTGAATCACCATTCCCAATGGCAGGATACCAGATTGAATGCAGTATGGTCTGCTCTAGTATGGAAACTTTTGGAGCAATGTAAATCTATCATTTTGAAATTCCTCATTTAACTTACAGAATGTGAACAGACTGTGACAGCAGATCTGAATCCCTTATCTCTTTTTCATCATGTTGATCTTTTCCACAAATGAGTGGATCAGTAACCTAATACAGTTGAGTTCATCCAACATTTCTTATTTAATCTATCCATTCTATGTATTTATAATATGGTTATCACCACTGTATAGCATGTAGGTGCAGACAGATAATCATATAAACAATTGGAAATTGCAGATATGAGCTTTCTTGATCTGTGTCAATTGGTAAATGTTCCCAATTGCTTTAACCTATTTAATGAAGAATCAATCAAAATCTCTATTTAATTTAGAACTGTTATTTGAATATGCATGAGAGATCTCACACAAAAAAACAATGAACCATCCATAAGTTGATTGATTCTTTGTTTGCATGATGCTTGAAATAATGACGGGGGGAGGAAAGAAAGTTTTTTTCCCTCCCTTGTAAAATAAATACAAATTATTGTAGGAGAGTAATTCAAGTAGAAGTTTTTAATGTTGATATATATTACACTGGAACTAATATTTCCAATATAAAAAAGTTTTCTGAATCTAGCTTATTTTGGATATCCAGCTTCTGTGGGTTAGGTTTACTTCTTTTTATGCTCAGCGATTTTTTAATTTTTTGTACATAAAATTACCAAAAATCAAGATAGATAGCTCCTATGATCTTAGTTAATGGTGTAAAAGCTGATCCTTATACATTGGAATTAATTGTCTAACCCTCTATCTAAGTTAATCTAAGGTATTTCTGGAGAATCTATTACCACAGCATCTGGGCTAAACCTCAAACTAGACTCTAGAGACTGAAGTTAAAGTATTTATGACCTGATGGTATACTTTGAAATCACTGGGGAATCTTGACATTGATTTCAATGGGAGCAGAATCAGAATCAAAAGAACTAACTGAGTTGTGAAAATTGAGGGCAAACGAGATACTTCTAATAGTATATGATCTATAGTTTTTGACATGGAAACACAGATGCAAAAACGTAATTTACCACAAATATCATGTATCGTTTTTCCTTCTTTGCTATATGTAAATCATGCAACATTTCCTCATGTATGTCATTTGTAAGTAACAGAATATTTAATTAATAGAAAAATATATATCTTACCCACAAACTGAAATGTAAGTTTGTGTGTTAGCATCGCCATTGTATCTGTAGCTGCATGGCATTGTGTGTTCCACTGCCGGATCTCACATTGAAGATCACGGATTAAGTTCTCCATATTTTCTAATAGTTGTTTTTCAAATGAAGCAACTGCATTGGTTTCACAGGTTTCTGTTTTGAATTCAGATGACAGATGTATACTTTTCCCTGGCTTATGATATACTATAAAAATGAAAAATCTCTCTCAATTATATAAACTTTCTGTTGTATCTCATCTATATATCTCCTTCTAATTAGCTATATATATATCCATGTATTAAGATACAAAATTGTCATTGTGTGTGCCACTCTGAAGCCCAGAATGCCTCATGAGTCACTGTCAAACGATGGAAACAGCTACAAACAGGGTTGAGAGCACTTTTTATTCAAAATATCACCAATTATCATGGGAATTTGTGCTCCATTAGGGTCCAACTGTTAAATTCTCAGCCATTCTGACTTTATGATTTACACGTGTGTGACAGCAAAGCATGTATCTCTGCCTTGTCAAGAGTCCTAGACTATTGTAATAGCAGAGGTAACTCAACCAATCACCATCCTTTCTCTACAGCTAATTTGCATGCAACAATTTCATTGGTTGTATGAAAAACTGCACAGATGATGGATTGCTTGGCCCAGCTGCCACACCCATGTGACAGCATGGGCTTTCAGCTACTAGTAAATATATAGTGCTTGACACTATAGTAGCTAAGCTTTGGTATGTATATATTTTCTTGTTATGTATAATTCCTGATAATTTGTTTGATAATAGTCAAAAAGGTATTAAATGGGGGGAAACACCCTAGAATTAATGCAATGAAATGTTACTGCTGCAAAAACCAAACACTAAAAAGTCTGGAAATCTTAGAAACTAAGGTTGCTCTGGTAATGTAAGGGTAATCAAATTGTATCGATTTTACGGTCTACAATGAGAAGGAAGTAGTAATTTAAAGTTGTATATTCAGCAAGTGAATCAGGAATAGAAAATAACCATGAGTAACACAGCTGTGTTAATATTGCCTGAGCAGCTTAAACTTTTGGAATGTCCTAACTTTTGAGCACTTGTTCTCACGGTGTTAATGCTCAGTATCCACTCCAGTTGGAGAGCAATAGGCTAGGTTAACTTCCTACTGTATTGCTGTCTGCAGACACAGACTCTCCCAGGTGAGATGGAGCAAGGCAACAACAGCATGCGTGTAGCAACTGGAGTATTAAAAAAATTCTATCGTTTAATTGTATGCAGTAGTTAAGAAGTAATGTGTGAATAGTGAATCAGTCTAAACCAGACCCTAACAGAAACAGCTTTGGCTAGCTCACACATTTACAGCTGTTCTTTAACTAGGGGTATTAGTGTTCCTTTTCATCTCAATAGTTATATTAGTAATTCTTTATCTTAGAGATTTTGGTTTTTATTATCCTAGTTTCTCCAAAGACACATCAACACGCTTTAGTGACTTTGTGAACCTTAATATAGTCTGACAATACTTATGCACTAAACTAGATGCACCTATATAGTTTGACTTATCCTCTCCTTTACTTTGCTTGTAATAAATTAAACAAGAACTGATATCCAGACTATACGGCATTCATCCTTTACATATTTTTCTTTGTTATACTGTAAACTTATTCCCCTAGAAGATCTGTTGGTAGTCCATGTTTGTCAGCCAAGAGCATTTCACTTTGTCCTTTGGGCATAATGTCCCTATTCAACAGCTGTATGCAGAATCCAGCTCTCAATTTGCTGATACGTTGCAAAATACTGAAGCTGACTATCTCAGTAATAATGTTTAAAGTTGATAGTGTCAGCTTCTTACTGTTATCTATTACCAAAGTGAAAGTGTTAAGCACTTTAAGTTAAGTAAACCTAAATGGGAATTGCTAAGTGCTCAGCATTTCTGAAAATCAAGACACTTATTAAATAATAACAACAACCTATTGTCTAACACTTTTCATCCACAAACTTTAAAAGTATTTTACAAAAGGAGGTTATTCCCATTTTACTGGTGGAGACATTGAAGCATGGAGAGATTAACTGATTTGCCCCAAAATCACACAGGAGATCAGTGGAAGAGCCAGGAATATAACCCATATCTCCTGACTCCTAAGTCAGTGCCCTAACCAATCAACCACACTGCCTACCTAAATCAGGATTTAGGAGCTTCACTTTAGCATCCATTTTTAAAATTCTGGATCTTATTTGTGACATCATGATGCTAATCTCAAGGACTATGTATACCCCCTCCATCAAAATACATTTTTAATAATTTCTACAGGGTCTAAACCACAGCTACTATGCCCCAGTTATCTTGAAAGGAATATTGTAGTTTACATTCCATACATTTTAACGGTCTTGATCAGGGGTGAAAGTAAAATACAGCTCTTACCCGTACGGAGCCCACTCCCCCTCCCCCCCCCCCCGCCCCGGAAGGGGCGGGGCGTCGGGCAGAAGGGACAGGGACAGGGCGAAAGTAAGTTACATTTCTTACTGGTACAGTCCAAACACAAGCAACCCACCTCTCCTACATACTTCATACCTCCCATTGCATGACTTTAATATAGAAAATAAAGCTACTACTACAACTACTACCAGTACTGTCTGTAATAAAACTTTAATATTGGAATAAGCCTGAAAAAGTGAAAACTCATGGTCACATTTTTCTCCTTGTCCTCCCTCCTCCTCCAGCCAGGCTGCTGATGCGGCTAGGCTCCGCGTTCCCCTGACCCCTCGCACTCAGCAGGGGCTGCAGCGGCTCCCCTCTAGCTTGCAGCAGGGAGCAGGGGGACTGGCTGAAGGAGAAGCCTGCCCAGGACGCCTGCTGCCTGAATAGGAACAGTTTAAATTTAGCTGTTCACTCTGCAGGATTAGGGGCCATTTATGACATCCTTGTTAATTTCACTCACAGTTGTTGGGGGGGTGGGAGGTGAGACCAAGGCAGGGGCAGAATACAATAGGTATTTGACTGCACATCTTAAATCCAGAGCTAATAAAAGCCACTGGAAGGGGAAAACTCACTGTCACATTGGTTTCTCTTCCTCCTCCTCCAGCCAGGCTGCCGAGGGGGCTAGGCTCCATGCTTCCCCTACCCTTAACCTGGCACTCAGCAGGGGCTGCAGCAGCTCCCCTCTAGCTTGCAGCACAGCAGGGAGCAGGGGGACTGGCTGAGGGAGAAGCCTACCCAGGATGCCTGCTGCCTACATAGGAACAGTTTAAACTCAGCTGTTCACTCCCTGGTTCAACCCGCGGGATTAGGGGCCATTTCTGGCATCCTTGTTAATTTCACTCAGTTGTTGGGGCTGGAGGAGGAGGAGGAAGAGAAACCAATGTGACAGTGAGTTTTCCCCTTCCACTGGCTTTTATTAGCTTTGAGTTTAAACTGTTTTTTGTGCAGCCAAAAGAGGTGAAAGTAAGCTAGTACTGAATGCTCCACTTATTTGCCGGTACGCTGTTGCACCTTTTTTTACCGGTACTCCTTACCAGCCTACTTTCACCTCTGGTCTTGATCCTGTGAAGTAGTGAGTGCCTCTTAAAAGGTGCTTAGCACCTTCAGCTCTCACTGACTGCAGTGGGACTTGAGACACTCAGCACCTCGCACAAGGTGTTCAGCTCAGATGTTTGTGTTCCCTCAGAGCTGTTGTATTAAATTTCCATTTGAAGGTAGTGCAAGTTTTCCTGCAATTAAATGCAAACATACAGAGGGACTGCTTGGAAAAAGGTTTATCCTGGCAGGTTTATGAGCAAATCATTCTGTATGTTTTGAAATAAAACTGGAATCCCAATGTACAAGTGAGTCATGGATCAAGATAGCATGCCTGGTTCTATTTCCTTCATATGTCCACCAGGTGGCAGTGCAGCATTAGTTTAGTTACCGCTTGAGCTGCTTTGAATTTGGAAGCAAAGAGATTTTATATTCCAACTTTTTCATTCTGTAAATACACACTAGGAAACACTCAACATCAGCATAATTTAGGATGTAATAATTTGATATGTTAGCGTATCATTTAAAATACCAATCAACATTATGTACCTCCCTTGCAGTTTTGTCATCTTGGACATGAAACTTCAGATTTCAACCCAGAAGTCCCAATAGCTCATTACCTCCCTTGACAGATATGTTCCATAATAACAATAAAACGGTCAACACAAAGGGTCAAACTTCGAGGCGAGAGGGAAGAAGTGAGCTTTTACAGATGCTGATCTGAGACTGTGGAATGCCCTTCTAGAAGAAGTGAGAATGATCATAGACCTCCTTCCCCTTGGAACGAAAGCACAAAAAACACTTCTTTAGCCTTGCTTTCCTACAACAATAGCTAAGAAAAGACAAAAGGAGGAAGAGAAACTCACACACTTCTTAACAAATTCTAGAAACCTCCTGTAAGTAGGGAGAAATTTAGTGCATTTATTAGACTCTAAGGACATCGCCATACTTTTTTTCTAACCAGTTCAGTTTAATCATAATGAGTTCAGATATTTCAAATCAAGCAAATTTTGAATACAAATAAAATAACTGAGACTCCATCTCCAACTCTCTCGTAAGTTTCCCTCAAATTCTCTTGCTCTCCATGACACCAGTCTAATATCTCCCAACTTCTGCCCTGTGAACAATCACTCCTCCCATACATTTAATCAAGTCTCTGAGTTACTAACTGTGTCCTTCAGAGGCACCTGGCTCTGGGGATTTCAGGAGCCATGGCAGTTACTCTATATCTCAATAGCACTACAATCCAATCTCACTCTGGTATAAACCTTTTATTCTCCAGCATGTATAATGTACCTCTTCAGCTCCAAAGTGCACAAGATTTGAATTGCTCTGGAGCTTCACAAGTCAGAAAAAAATTATGCATTATCAGTAGGATGACCAGACAGCAAGTGTGAAAAATCAGGGCAGAGGGTGGGGGGGTAATAGGTAATAAGCCCAAAATATTGAGACTGTCCCTATAACATCGGGACATCTGGTCACCCTAATTATGAGGTTCATGCAACCAAGAGGGAGTTTCCAGTGATGGATTTATTTGTGACAAGTTTGTTTTGCCAGTGTTGTAATGTCACTTCACAATTCCTTTTTTGTAATCATTTCCTTTTTAAGGTGTACTAGAAATAATTAGCCACATGTCTACCATGTAAGCAGAGAAATAACTATCTCTGTACATAATTTTATGTTTTTTCTCTAAGCATTCTCTTTAAAGGGTACTAGCATACAATTTAAATGTTTAGGTACTTTTATGGCATTATGCTTCCAGATCATTTGAATATTCATGTATTTTAATAACAAACCTGAAATGAATGAAAAAAAAAACAGCATTTGAGTAAAAGCATTTCAGAAACAAAAGCAATAAAGCTTCACTTACCATAGACCATGAAACGGATTTCTGTTGTCACATATTTATTATTATGTACATAGATGACATTGCAGATGTAACTTCCAGAGTCACTTCCATGAATATTATAAATTTCCAGGCTACCGTCATCAGTTAAAACAAACCTTTGTGATTCTAGAAATAAAAATTTACAATAAAATATTTTAAAATTAATAATGATATAAAGTAACTAATGGTGTTACCATAGTTGAAGCCTCCTGTATGGTTGGATTCTTCCATAAATCCATACTACCGTTCTTCTCATCAGCCACCTCTAATATACAGGGCACATAGGAAAGTAAAACAGTTATGCTTGCTCCGTGGGTTCCAGTGCATCACATTGATGATGGGTGAAAATGGTCCAATCCCCACATTCCATTTTTTTCAAAACATAAATGATGTTAATAAATATCTAAGGAGGAAAGGATAAGCCGATGGTGGGATATGTGAAAAAATTATTTGGAGAACTCTAAATATGATAGCATTTTTCTTTACATTGGGGTCTACTACACAGATTCCACTACTTAGTGAATACAAATCGATAAAATAATGAAATGAAAGTAGGCTATTATGTTAGATACAAAATAATAAATAATAATTATTATTCAGCTTTTAGGCTCAGGGTATGTCTATACAGCAGTCATGGGCTATAGTCACAGCTTGCGTAGACATACCCAAGCTAGCTTCGGTTTAGCTTGTGTACTGGAGCAGTGAAACTGCGGTAGTGCACGCTTCAACATGGGTGAGCCCTGTTGGGTGAACCCAGGGTTCCAGGCAGGCTTGTGCAGCCCTCACTGAAATGCATGCTGCTAGTTAGATTAAAGCTATGTATGTATGTATGTCTACTTGAGCTGCAATCACTCCCTGTGATTGCAATATAGACATATCCTTAGGGAGACTTCCATGGACTTCAGTGGGTTTTGGATCAGGCTCGTATTTCACTTTTCATCTGTAGATCTCAAAGTGCCTTACACAGAGGATGATATTATTCCCACTTTACCATGAATAGAAATTGAGGCACATACAGGGGAAGTGACTTGTCCAAAGACACACACAGCAAGTCAGTGTTACAGCAGGGCATATAACCCAGATCTCCTGACTCTCAGTCCACAGCTCCTCCATTGGACTTCAGACGGCCTGGCAGAACTTACCGGATAAGTAAGCTCTTAACAGAAGAACTCTGAAGTCTCACAAGTCTAGTATAGCTTCAAGTATTGCAAAGTTTGTTTAAAACATTAAGAAGTTTTACATAGTAGAGATTAAAAAGAAAGTGAAAAAGCACTTTTCCTTCACACAGGGATTTTCCATGGGGAAGTGATAAGTACTCGAGGCCTTATTATACTTGAGGAATATATTGAACTTTTTTTAAAATTCCCATTGAAATTAATGAAAGTGTTTATTTGGATAGGTGGTTATATGACCTTAATTTTGTATACCGATCAAAATTACAAATTACAATTACCCCTCCACTCAGCATGAATAATAATCTTCCTTAGATTTTCTTAAGATTGTACATATGAACATCAAATGCTACAAATAGCAGAAATACAGGAAATACTAAATCAAAATCGTCATCCCAATATACTCCTAGATTCAAACTCTGTACAGGTGTCTGTAGGCTTTATTGAAAAAGCTCATACCTACACTGCTGTTCCCTTATTGGGCTCTGGGTGAAAAGCAAGCCTGAAGCTCCCAATATTGATGTCTTCTTATATTTGAAAATTCAGTTTAATCAAAACAGTGAGCCCAGTCAGGAGGGATGGGGAAGAGGTTTTGGGAGCTCAATAAAAAAAATAAAGCCTTCCTTTTTATCTCTTCACATCTTCTGTTCATCTCCTCATTTTGGTCCCTATTTGGCTGCTCTCTTCTTTCCTTTCTTTTCCCATTTTTCCTGTTACCATCGTATTTCTCTCTGTTCTTTTGTTCTTTGCTCTCTTTCTTTTTCTTTTTTTGCACTGTTGCTAGCACTTCCTCTTTCATATTTTATGTCTTTCTCCCACATTTAAAGCACCTTCTCTCCTTTACTTCCTCCCTCCAAATCAGACCGACATTCTAGACAGTTTCTGTAAGAACTCCTATATACAGAGCACTGCAAACACAAGGACACTATTTACAAACAGTCAACTTCCTTCTATGTCAAGCTGTCTAAACATTACTCCTGGGGGAATTCTGCGCTACTGCGTACATGCATAATTAATGAGCTGTGCATATTTTTAATTTGTTGTGCAGAAAGAAGCTTCTGCTGAAATGTTGCTGCAGTTCTGCTTTTTTCCTACCAGAGGGCCCTGTGGCACTAGAATAAAGCAGCAGCTCCTGGCAGCTAGGAAAGAGAAAGAGCATGCCTTCTTTGCAGTACCTGCCAGGCCAGGTGAGGAGACAGGGCTATGGGAAGACAGACAATGTGGCATGCTGGGGGGTCATCCAGGGGCTCATAAGGACTAGTGGGGAGGACAGACTGGGGCAGGGGCTGAATGGGAGTGGAGGCTCAGGAACATGGAGGGAGGGAGGTGCAGGGCCACATGATGATTGGGGAAGGGGTACAGAGCTACATAGAGACAGAGCAGGCAGGGTGGGGGCACAGAGACACATATGGACAGGGGGAGGGCGTGCAGGGTCACATGGCAATGGGGGAGTGGGTGTCTGAGTGGGAGTGGGGGGACACATATGGACAAGGGGTGCAAGGACACATGGGGTCGCAGGAACACATGGGGACAGGGGCAGATGTGCCTGACTGAATAGGAGAGGCTAGGGGGGTCAGCCAGGGTCTGCATGGGGGAAGCTCCCTAACAATCCCTCCCCACCTCCCAAAAAAACCTGTTCCATACTTTTCCCATCCATACCCAACAACCCTCCAAGTTTCCAGCAATTTATTTCCCTCTCCCTCAGCTCCTCCATTACCCCCTGATTCCCCCAAGCCTTTGCACTGCTTCTGAGGGGTGCGTGAAATATGGTTCTGTATTGTAGTTTAAATTAATTATTACTCAGAGTGCTGTACTAATATGCCTACTAAGGAAACTATTTGTCTAAAAGCATTTCCTGAATCTTTTTTGTTGTCTGTATTGTTACAGACATATTTGCTGACAGGTATTTTGAAATAAATGACCAAATATGATTGAAACTGGTGTGATTATATTGTGTTTTGACAAATAAAATATGCCGCATTTTGCAGAATTTTAAAATATTGTGCACTAAATTTTTAATTTTTTGGCACAGAATTCCACGAGGAGTAAAACATGGAGCCTAACTGCAATGGGAAGATGACCAGAATCATATGGTTTTAAGCAGTTTCTCTTTTCAGCTAGTTATGTACCCATAACTTTAGAGGGCTGTTTTGTCTGCGTTGCTGGCAGCAGCTCAAACTGTACAATCTAAAATAGATGTGGATCCACATTTGCCCCATAGATGAATATTTCCTTAAAATAAAACTTTTTCTTCTTTTTATACCACTAATTTCAAACTTACAATTTTACCAAATATACCCTTCAAACTGTTTATATTGCTTTCTACTTATATTACTCCTGATTGGTTATTTTTCCTCAGAATCCATTTATGATTCCTATCAAATGCAATACATTTATCCAAACTACTCTTGTTTGCATATTCTATTACAGTTCAGCTCAGGGCAAAAGTAAAATTAGAAGGTGTAAATTGGCTGCAAATATTAAAAATATAATTACCTTTGGTTATCAATCCTATGGGACCAATCCACTGATATTTTGGATCAATGATTCTCTGCTTTAACAGCTTTTGAGTCAAACACTTAAGAATTAAGTCTTTGGAATTAATGAGAACATACACTGGAACTAAAACAGAAAAAACGTTAGAATATAATTAGACACAAGAGTAGACAGACTGACATCAAAATGAATATAGACAAGGATTGGCCCTGTAGCCAAGTGGCAAAGGAATCACTACTTCATAGAGGCTCTGAGTGTGAAATACTGACCCCACTGAAGACAATGCCAAAATTCCCATTCTTGTTTTGTGTAGGCACAAAGAGTTTTGGTTTCTAATGCTGTCCGTCCAGCCTGTTTGAGAGAGATGAATCTAGGACTAGAATTATCACCCAGTGTTAGGGAATAAGCAATGTGAGGGGAAGAGATCAAAACAAAAACACCCTAGATTAACAATTTCTATGAAGTGTTGGAACACTGATTAGTATAAATGAATAATCAGGTTTCTCCCAGTATTATTGGCTTACCAGTTGATCCTTCTATTCCAAGTATTTGATCAGAAATTTGTGGAGCATCTGGAATAGCTGCGACTCCACCAGTTTCAAAAAAGGCCACTGAGTCATGAATTCTATCTATATTTTCTCGCTTCAAGCGTGCACCTCCTTTCTTTATAAGATGAGTCTTATCCAAAAAGCAAGGACTTCCAGCTAGATCAATAGAAAGAAAAAAAACAGTATTACAAAACATAAATAAAAATGTAAACAATTACAAATAAAGTAAAGGCAGTTGTGCTCTAAAATACCTAGGGATCTGTAACACTGAAATAGCATAATTTTGCATTTGTACTCTATGTTACATAAGATGAAGTGTCATGTTTTTACATTTTTAATTGCTTTCTAGTACTCTGAAACAAAAATTCAGTCCACCTTGGAGCTTGAAGCCAGGATGTAAGCTAGCAGCATTAGAAAATGGATATGTCACTTACTCTTTGTAGGGCTAAAATAGGAAGTGAAACTATGATAGTAAATGTTATTGGGTTGTATATAAATATATGAAAAGTTGCCCATCTCTGATCAGAATGTGTATGTGAATGAAGCTTGGAGTATGTGATAACTTTGGTTCTTTAGGTACAAGAGACTGAACAAAAGGGACTCTCAGGGCCAAATTTCAAAAAGGGAGCATTTAAAAATGTTTCCTCTGCTAAAGTTAATTTTTTTAGAAAAAAAATTATAGAAAATGCAATATTAGAGAAAAATGCAAATAGAACGAGTTAGAATGTAAAATATGGAGACTAAATTCAATCATTTATATATGTGCAATCCAGGGATTACTATCCTACATTTAGTGCAAATACACTCTCAGCTCTGGAGTCACTCCAGCTGAACAGAATTGTTTATTAGAGAAGCAATATATACCCTTCTTAAGTTTTATACCCTATAATGGCACTAGAGTTCAATTCTGCCAATGAACAACACTCTTTTATTTAGCTGGTGCTAATCCTTGCTAACCATAGTAGAGCTATTATATGGTCTCAGTAAAAATCAATTCAGCCTCACTTCTTATTTGTATTAAAAGCTCAATCTACTACACTGGTACAATTGAAAAATCTATTACTATGAATTAATTCTTCTACAGTACTTTGAATATGTAGTATAGTGGCCCTTTAAAAAGTTTGCCAGTTTTCTTAGATAATTAACAAAAAACATTCAGTATTCAAGATATTTCTTAGAATAAGTATTGAGAAGTAGAAGGGAATACTGAAGATACTGAGATAAGCTAGATAGATAATGACGGTTACCCTAGTCCTTAAGGACCAGCATTGTGAGCTCAAGCCTTTGCAAAGACAAAGCCATGCTGGGAAGGAGGAGGAGGAGGCACTCTCCTGAAGAGGCAATGCTTGGAGGCATTAGACCTGTGTAAATTACAGTGGACTCATTTCTTGACTGTGTCAAACGTATTCTTGGTGTCGTCGTGCCAGGATGTGGGGAGACAAAGGTGGCTCTAAGCTACTTTTCTGCCTCCACTGATCCTCATGTTTGTAATTTCTTTGTATTTAGTACTTTCTGTGAATTTCATTAATATGCCATTTCTCCTAAATCTCTTGTTGACTTCAATGGGAGTAGACTTGGGCCCGTAATGAAGCTTTAGAGATTTTTTCCCCAATTCAGTATGTTGCTTTTTATCATTAACCTTCATTTATAGTCTTTCAGTCATTTTTAATCCATACAACATTGATTGTATCCTCATTGGTTTGAATTAATATTGAGTATAAGATTTCTTAAGACTCTCTGCCAGGGGATGTTCTTAGAACACCTGATACATTTATAAAAAACATTCTTAAGTTGCTGAACACCTTTGCGCTGTGGTAACTTACTCTGTTTTTTGCTGCCCCTTTCTTATCCCTCCCATATTCATATTTAGTTATCTTTCTTCTTTTCTAAATACAGCACAAGTTTGTTTTTTAACTTCACATTTTTGAGTACCCTCAAAGTCACTGTGGCCACTTCTTATTTGTTGTGCAATTTTTCACAGTTATTGCGTTTTGCCTAATAGCATCACAAATTGCCTAGCCTTCTTCCACATTGTTGGGTTTTCATACTTCATCTTATCACACGTAAAAGGAGACCAAATAATACAAGTCCAGGAATTTATCAAATGTGCTCTCTTATGCAATTAGTGCTCTGTAGCAGTTGCTCATCATCATTTTCTTCCATTTTTCATTCTTTGTATTTCTTTAGCCAATGTATTTCACCATCAATATCTTCATTATCTAATTGTAGTTTGATGTAGTACTGTAATCATATTTAAGATATTAAAATTTCAGAGAAAAATAGAATGCATTAGCTGGACAATGTGAAACATTTCAACCTCCAAGACATAACTGTGTGGCAGGCATAAGAAAGGCAGGTAGTTGAACTATGGGGACTACATACTAAAGAATATAGCATTGAAAACCATATAGTCTTTTATCTGTCAGCACCACCTGGCACTGGGGTTGTAAACAGTATATCTGAGCCAACATCTGGCAGGAAAAGGAAAAGCAGTCATCATGATCCATATTAGTAATGATAAAGAATGTGCAGAATGCTGAGTCTAGAATTAATATCCTTCTAAAATATAGTTATAAAGTAAATTTTTGTGTCACTTTTCAGAGGGGTGGTCTAGAAAATACAATTCCATATAAATACACATTACAAATCTGGAAAAAAGGAGCAGATCACCTAGGCTGACTAAAAATTAGCCAGGTAATCAGCTGTGTAAATCAGCTACAGTACTTAAAGCAATTAAATGTTTACAGTTACTTAAGAGATCAAAGAAATTCTAACGTTTCAGCTTCTCTTGATTTCATCAAGTCAATATTTCAGCACTTAAAAGTTCAATTCTAGGAACAGCAGCATGTTAATCAATTACACTACCATCCAGTTTGTGCATGAGGAACCTTTGAAGTTATGTTGGGTCCTTTTGAATTAAATAAGAGACTGATGACTTAATAATGCAATAGCCTAATACAGTTAAACACACTAACATGACCTAAACTAAATGTAGTTTTAAAATAGCTTTCTGGTTACAAGGATTGATTCCTGACAGCAATTTCCCATGCAACCAGATGTTCCAGTTCCTTACAATAGAGAAGAGTGTGCATTCACAGTTAAAAAAAATCTTAATATTTTAGATGTTATATTAAGTTAATAAGAAACTGAAAAAACTTGTACTTTCAAACATCCTGGCAATTCCAGTTATAAAAATGTTGTATATATCAGTGAGAACTTATATGAAGAGGAAATAATCCACGGAATTTGTGCCTTGGAGAAGTTTTTAACCTAAGTTGGTGGAATATAAATTTACAGCGTCTTTCATGCGGGTCCCCACATCTGTACCCCAGAGTTCAGAGTGGGGAGGGAACCCTGACATGGTGGCAGCGCGGTGGGATTATTTTGAACCAGAAGCACAAACCTGAGGATTTTAAAAGCATTTTTTCTTTTGGCTGACTTAAAAAAAAAAAAACCTCCCTCGTTTTTCAAAGGGCATTTTTTTTTTAAGCTGAGAGCAGCTGGAGGTTTTTTTTCCTCTCTGCCTCAGGGCAGAGTAGCTAAGTTCTGCAAGGGAATTCACAAGCTGTTTTGTTTTCTTTCTAAACTCTCGGGTTAGGCTAGGATGACAAGCGCAGAAAGGCTAGGATGACAGAAAGTGATGTCCAGAAAAAACTGGAATTAGCCAGATTTGAAGCTGAGGAAAGAAAGAAGGAATATGACAGCTGGAACTGAGACAGATGGAGATTGATGCACAAGTGGCCAGAGACAAAGCTGCTAGGGAGGAGAGGGAAAGAGAGAGGCAGCATTCTGGGGAGGAGAGGGAAAGAGAGAGGCAGCATGAACTGGAGGTGATGGAGTGGAAACGACGGAACCCTTCAGCAGCTGGCTCCACTTCCCCAAAAATCCACAAATGGGAGCGACTATGTCCGCAGTGTGATGAATCCAGTGATATTGCTGAATATTTCATCACCTTTGAGAAACTGTGCACCCTCCATGCAATTCCTGACGATCACAAGATGATCACATTGGTAGCAAAATTGACTGGAAGAGCTCTGGACATATTCAACAAGATGCCTATTGAGGATGCTTCTGATTATGGTTAATTTAAGGATTTGGTTTTGAAACAATTTCAAATTACACCTGAAACTTAGAGTAAAATTTAGAGCCCTTAAGAGAGGGGCTGGACTAAGTAATGTGGCTTATGTAAACCAGATGAAGGATCTGTTAGGCCTTGGCTACACTGGTGTTGTGCAGCGCTGCAACTTGCTGCGCTCAGGGGTGTGAAAACGCCCCCGCCAGCGCAGCGAGTGTAGCGCTGTAAAGCGCCAGTGTAATGAGTGCCTGCAGCGCTGCTTGCTCGCTCGCAGCGCTGCAAGCTACTCCCCTCGGAGAGGTGGAGTACATACAGCGCTGCGAGAGCTCTCTCGCAGCGCTGGCGGCGCGACTACACTCGCGCTTCACAGTGCTGCCGCAGCAGCGCTGTGAATTCCCAAGTGTAGCCAAGGCCTTAGATAAATGGGTCAAAGGCAGGGCTGTAACTAGCTTTGAAGGAATGTGTGACTTGGTTGTCCAGGAGCAGTTCCTGACCAATGATGATGTAAAACAGTGTTTATGGGATGAGAAAATGGACTCAGCAGAAAGTCTTGCTTCTTATGCTGATCAATACGAGCAGTCCCAGACAGTCAGAGAGGTGGGGCAAATCAGAACAAAATGGGTGGAGGTAGCACAGAGGAACAACCCTGGTCGCAGTTTGGGTGGATACCAGAAGGGACACCCCGAGACCACACCATACTACCGGGGCCAGCCCAAGGCCCCAACTACACCCCAAGGAAAACCCCAGACACCTTGTAGTCCCACCACACCATTCTCCAGCAACCCACCTTGCCCCAGTGACCAGTCAGCTGAATGATGTTTTAAATGTAACAAGCTGGGGCACGTAAAGGCGAACTGCCCCAAGAACCCCAACCGATTACAGTTCATTGCACTGGGGTCACACCAAAGGTCCTCAGGCCCAGATGCCTCCCAGATACCCTCAGAGCAAAGGGAAACTGTGAGTGTGGGCGGGAAGAAGGTTATTGCTTGGATGGACACTGGAGCACAGGTGTCAGCTATCCACCAATCCTTAGTGGACCCCAAATTCATCAACCCAGAGGCCCAAGTGACGATTCAACCCT